ACCAATTTGGACGTACGGAATACCACTTTGGAGAACAGCAGCAATGAGCCATATACGCAAAAGAGATACAATCCAAGCTAAAATTCTTAGATCAATTGTAAACGCCCCATGGTACATTAGAAACGAGGACATACGGAAAGACCTTGGAATACCAACGGTCAAGGAAGAGATTAGCAGATTTGCAAGAAGGTACAGAGAAAGAATAGCAACGCACCCGAACCGGCTGGCAGCGGAAACGTTCAACACAATCATAGAAAGAAGACTAAAAAGGAAACCCCCAGCAGATCTCACAAAGGATATATCTTAACAAACACGAAGATGGTACTCCATTGGGGGTAGCCACCCACATGATAATCAAACAGATAAAAAATTCTACCAAATGTCGAAATTAGACAGATTGTGAATGTGAAATATTAAATTAAAAAAAACACGTCGTATTAACAATCAAACCCCAGGCAGGAGCAACGTCGGCTCTACGCGGGTCTGCCTAGCAACGGCTTCTATAATTTTGTTGGTATCCCTGGCCAATATGCAACGAACAAACGCGATCGTAAGGAGAGGAAAATTTCCATCGGTCTTTTATTCTTGCGATCACCTGGGAGAGTTTTCACATCGTCAAATTTCAAATTGTGAATGTAAACAACTAACTAAAAAAGAAAATTTTATCGCCGTCATGTCTCTTGTAGAATATACTACAGCTTCTCACTCAGCTTCTCCCCTTTGTAATTGGTGAACTTTTAGTTCTCGAGGCATTTGTTTTCTATTAATTCTCACAGTTCCACATACGTTTGTTTCATGTGATGTAATTCTCGATACAATGTCGGTGAACAGTACCAATTATCAATAAATAAATAATATTCTTTGTGCAATAACTCACTCTCTTCCAACAAAGTTATCACAACATTTCTGCTAGCAGACCTGGTATCAGTTTTATCTTTTTCTGTATATATGTCGGAGATGAAAGGGCATCGGAGCCTCCCCTTTGGAACTTAGGGAAATTCCCTAACACCGTAATCTAGATTCTATCATAGGCGTAATTAAACAATTGTCGTCTTTTGATCCGATTGTATTTGTTTGAGATTTGTGATAATGAGCTTGGGCTGGAGGCGACAGCCAGTCGCCGAACGCAGCCGCGGTCACGGGATGAACGCTTTGTCTAACAAAGGCATGGAGTAATTCTATATCTCTCCCTTAAAAAGGAAATAGTTGTAACATTCGACAGTAAACATTCCAACGGTCTCTGTCCCGTAGCTCGCCACACGCAGACCTTATTATTAAGATATTAAATAAGATGAATGCCAGATGTCGATGCGTCTCCGCAGTACATGTTCAGCTAGCCTGAGGGCCCGTTATAAATCTTAAGATTTAGTTCTTCAAACAGACAAACAGTCTTCGTTCCAACTACGAGAAGATAGGGGAGACCTATTTTTCAACGAACGACGTCTCCCACTAGCAACTTTCCCTCGAGGGCGGCCAGCATCTTTTTCTAACCACCGTTGTGGAGATTGACCAATTAGCAGCAACGCCAATTTCCCTTACTTTCTGAACGAAGGCTATCCTCGACGAAACCAATGATCTCGTGTCCTTAGACACAACCTATTATAGTTTTCCTCTGTGGCATCATCGGGATGGAAACTCATCTCATCGACGAAAAGAGTAAACCCTTGCGACCAGTGATTATTACTCGTTTTATTAACAAAGAGTCCGACTTAGATTTTCTGAGCCTGTACATCTATCATCCCGTTGACCGCGGATTCGTTATTGAACCTAGGATCATTGTCATTAGTTTCATGAGTATCTAATTACCACGGTTACTTGTCCGATTCTATAATAATCGCGTTTGCACTAGTCAATGTCTTCCCTATTGCATAACGACTATCTGTAATCCAAATGAAGATTCGTTTCACGCCCCTAACCCTAATTCTAATGTAAACCCGACATATATATTTTCTCGATGTAATTTTCCAATAGGATAAATAATGTAATAATGCATTTTTAACTTTTTATATTTATTTATTGGAATATTTATCTCATATGTACATATATAACTTGTAATGTAATAATTCTTTATTGAAACGTTAACTGTTCTTAATCACTTGTTTTTGTTAACAGATTTATGTGGGATGGTGTGACGTTAGCGAAAGACGTGGCTGATTGTTTATAAACGTTGTTAAGATATGTTAATGTTGTCAAGGAGTGTTGTGAGCGTTACCTAGGTTTGTTACAGTAATGGTAATGCTGTCAGAGTTGAGTTAATCGTGATCGAGAGAAGTTCATCGTGTTGCTGTGACGTAGAAATAGTGTTAAGCGAATTCGTGAGGTCCGATATTATATTCAATTTTGTGAGAGTGTTACAATATTGTGTTTATCATACTGTCTTTTCTGTTAATTTATAATAAACATTCCTACATTTATTTAATTGTTTTATTTATCCATTTATTTCTTGTATTTGTTAATAAATTATAACATGTATTCTTGTCTTTTTCCCCTATTATTTCCTCTTTGCCATGATGTCGTATGTTGTTATTTTTATTTTGGATTCATCAGGTGAGTTCGCAGTTCATTCAGTTTATTAATTAATTTTATTCAATTATTTTATAAATGTAGTACCGGGGAAAAGGGCCTAAGAAACATCGAGTTAACTACAGACAATGTCGCGAGAGCCGAGGCGCTGTCGGCTCCATTGATGTGTCCTCGGTCTTTACAAGTGCCGAGTTTCGTTATATAAAACCTACCAGACCCTGGCTACGAGCGTCTGCGGAACACGTGTGCGGTGGGCCTAGCAAAAGACAAAAGAGATGCTACAACGGCCAGAGAGTCAGTTGAGAAGCGGAGTGTGAGTTGAGCGGACACAGAGTGTGAATCGACGTGCGACGATATTATAGTCGGTCCTTTTGTTATTGAATATCGCTTATTAAACTACACTAAACTCTAAATCTACAATTATTACTTGTCCTTACTCTAAGAATCCATGCGTTACTACATAAGTTTCTCCTTTTTTTCTTGTTGATTGATTACAATATGTCCTCCTATTGTTCCATTTATTCTCTGTATTTTCGACCAATCGCGGGGAGATGCAATCGCGAAGAGAGACGTCAACGGGAGTCGTAAATTGTTATAATCGTTACGATTATAATAATCGACACCACGAGTTGATCGATCCCCTGATTTCCGTTAAGATAATAGGGGTGATTCAGTTTGTATAACACTGTGATTTACAGAATTATAAATTATATATTTCCAACACTTAAGTTACACTGTTGAGTAGGTATAAATAGATAACAACTTGTCGCACGAAGATAAAATAGATATGCACACTAGAGAAAGGCTCTTATAATTGAATTTAGTATGTTAGTGGACGCAGCACTATAGGATACTTAATAGAGGAAGTGAATATTCGACAATACCGAGAACCGACTTAGTTGATGTGAGTTATACTCCTCTAGCGTTATGCTTAGACTTAGACGTTAGACGTTAGATTTTGTACTTAGTTGTTGACTTTTCTAGCGGTGTAGAAGAAGTAGTTGACTTTTCTAGCGGTGTAGAAGAAGTAGTTGACTCTTCTAGCGGTGTAGAAGAAGTAAGGTACAGTGACGATGCTGCGTCGTAGGAAAGCTAGCGATGGGTGTGTCTAGCGCACGGGACCATCGGATTTGTTCATGACATTTTTGGTCAGGAAAGTGAGGGCAGTATACATTGCTTCTGATTGGATAAGCGAAGGTTGGTGGACTAGGAAGGTCTTAACCGCCCTCGATAGATAGTTGCTAGTAGGAAGCATCGTATGTGAGAAAAACTAACTTTCCCTTGTCAAGCCCTAGTAGACAATAGTCTTTAGGAAGTGATTTAAAAAAAGGATATTTGTACGGTCTGAAGGACCTTAACTAGCGAATTCCTGAGATTTACGATGGGTCCTTAAGATTATTGAGGGTAGGCAGAATGAGCGGACATCTGGTTCCCGTCTTGCCCACGGTGTGTGGCCTGGTCTAGGTAGAGGGTCGCCCAACGTAACATTCTCTTTTACTATTATGTGGTATATAATTATTTTAATTTCTGGATTTTACCTGCTTATTCGATTTATTAATTGGTTTTATTTAATAGTTTGTTTTCATTTGCATATCTTCATTTCCATCTTCGTCAATTAATTGTGGTATATTTTCCTGTCGTCGGATATAATTGCTCTTGTTCCGGATTGATTCGCAGCTCGCTCGAGTTGTTAGTTGGTATAGGTTATGTTATACTCTTTATATTTACTATTTCGTTAGAGTACCTATTTCTATTTTATTATTTGTTATTTACCCTCGTACGCTAATTCTCTCTATATATAACTACGTTTAATTAATCTTTTATTAAGGAATTTCCATTTTCATTGTACCGTGCGTTTGTTTTGGTGGTTCGAATTGTCACTCGCGTTATTTGTATATTGCTATTTTCCGTTTTTTCGTTACGGCGCGTGCGGGGCGCGTCTGTAGCGGCCTTCCGGCTGAAGGAAAACAAATCTTTTGTACCTTCGCTTGTCTTTTAACTCCTCCATGTTAAATTCTAGCCCACTATGTACCTTGACAAAATCATTAGGTGTAATGCCTGCGATTGTGTATTCTTTGGCAATTCCATGCCCTATCAATGCCTCAGGTTTAGCTCCTACTACATCAAAATTCGTCACTTTCGCAAATAGAGTTATGCACTATATCAAAATGATTCTGTGTTGAAAAGTGGTCGATGCAGAACTCAATTATACGTATTAATCCTGTCTTTCTTGCTGGTATTTCTGATAATTTGTCTATATAGTTAGTACTACTACAATTTCCAGATAGAGTGAAGACTATTTTAATTATGTCACTTGTATTACTCCTGATCAATGCATGCGGAATTTTATGAGTGGGCCATTAGAATTATTATTACTGGAAAAATGTAGATTTTTAGCGATAGACAGAAATCGATTACGGCCCATATTACCTTTAAAATATGATGTTTCTATGCATTTATCCAATAACTCTGAATAATTAGCTTAGAAAGTAATTCATTAAAATGTTTAAAGCAATAGATACTTTTAGTTCATTTTCTGTAAGAGGCATAAAATTTGCGTCTGTTTCTCGATGTTTATTTGTTTCTGTAACTAGTTTTGTAACTAATTCTTCGTTAGAAAATAATTCAAAAACTGTTCTCCTCAACAGATTTTGCGTATTAACAGTTGCACCAACCACACTTGAAAAGTCATGTATAATTGGCATATAATTTTTTGCTTTCCAGATGTGATCTTCATCTCTAAAACTGCCACACTGATCAACTTCGCTGCCTTCGCTTGATGAGATCCTACGGATACGTTTTCGAGTATGTCCTATTGGTATACTTTGATCCGAATCATCAAGATTGTCAAAATCGATTGGGGCAACTAAATTTTAGTTTACATTATAAAATCAGAATATTTTTTAAATTTAAATTTGTTAAATTTTATTAAGATTGACAGTACTTCCTCATAGTGGCAGTTAAAAAGATTTTCACAACAAAAGTAAGATTTCTTTAGAAAATAGTAAACTGACATAGGGTCAGACGTGATCTCTCACATCTGAAGAATACTTAGCGACTGAAATAAAATTAATCCGCGCTTGGATGTAAAAGGGTTAATCCCCTCATTCTTCTCCTTATCGAGGTTCAGTTTATTAATCAATCCGTTCAACATTTGCACCGCCCCCGGCAAGGCTAGTGTGAACCGCCTTCATCTCACCCTTTGTGAACATTATCTCCTTCCCTTCGACCTCACTATTCTGAGCGTCGATATTCTCCCTCGCGCTATTCCTGCCACACTGCGCGCAGGCAACCATTTTTTTTTTACGTGGAAAAATCCTCATGGACACTCTGCTGTTGCCGAAATAATCGGGAACGGCAGAGTAGTGTCGGATTCTTACCGACTAAAACACCACAATGGCCTTCCTACACGTGTGTCAGGAGTGCCCCGGAGACGTCGATCAAATTGTCTTTCCGTTGCACCCCCTCACGCGTACTATCGTTAGAGTCGATCGCAAAAGTTCGCTTAACTTTTAAATTTGGAGCTAGGGGGGGGGGCATTGCTCCTAGCGCCATTCCCCTCTACCAGTCGCGACCCGTTGGAAAGACGGTGAAGCGGCTCTGGGCCGCCTGACCCTCCCTCGTCGCGTTACCCTATAAGGGTAAGAGCTCTTCTCCCTTTCCCTCTCTGCCCGCTCCTTTACAAGCATAACCTGCTCGCAAAAGAGGCGAGCAGCCTCGTATTCCTGTGGCCCGTTCAGCATCGC